TGCTGTCAGGGGCCCTCTGAAGGAAGAAGGGCTGCGTGGCCCAGATCCAGCAGACATCATCATCTCAGGGAAAGCACGGGCAGACACAGCCTCACCTGGAGCTTCTGTGGGACGGCTGGGTCAGCTGGAAAGGACAGTTCCAGCTAGACAGGCACGTAGCATGTGCTCATCAAGTCTCTGCAGGAAACATCTAAACACCGAGCCACCTCCAGAAGGATGGTGGGGCAGCCATCGGAATGTGGGCACAGCTTCTGGCGAGAACGGCCTGAACCCCAGCTAAACTGCTCTAGGATGCTGATCCCTTCAGCTCTCCAGGCCCCTCTCTGGTCACAGGGAGGCATCCCCATCCACATCCTTAGCGTGCCATTTACAGGTTGTTAGCTTCGGTAGTGGCACTGTCCACGTGGGCCAGGAAGTTCAAGAATAACAGACAGGGAAGTTGTTCTTTATAACTCAGTTATCACTGTACGTTCTACAAAAGTCCAGGTACGTATTTGGGGAATGGGTCTCATCCTGTAGTAATCACTCCTTTAGTATCTGGCATGTGATCTTACAAAGCTGAACATACAGGCATTTTTGTTTTGTTTTGAGGTACGGGGCATTAAATCCACAGCCTTGCATATGCTAGTCAAGAGTCCTACAGCTTTGTTACTGCTCTAGCCCATAAAAATACAGGAGTTTAAGTGAACAAAAAGGTTCTACAGCTGTCGCCTCTGAGGCTACAAAACTGGAATGATGGATGGTGACTGACAGTCACCACCCTTATCCTTAGCTGCAAGGTGGGTTGCTGGCTGCAGAGCATAACTCGGCAGGGAGACAGGACAACTGCCTCTGCCTTTATGGAGTTTACGCATAAGGTAAGCATATAGACCTCGAGGAAGTGCTTGTGCAATAAACCTCAACAGCACTTGAAGTGCGACTGAGAGTTGGTACCCAGGGGCTTGATGAATACCCTGGAGAAATCAAAGCTGCCCTGAGGAATGACAGTGCATCCTAACCCTGAAAGATGAAAGTTCTAGACAGAGGGAAGAGGGTGCCGGAGGACAGACAGGCTAAGGGATTTGGTTGAAAAGAGACTGGCAGAGACAAAGCTGGAGGACGAGACAGGGGCCGGATGACGCAGGACTCTGCAGGCCACAGTCAGAGTCAGGGTCTTAAAGAACTAACATCTAGGACACACAAAGAACTCAAAAAATCAGACCCTCTAAATTTAAAGACATGGTCCAAAAATAGCCATCTGAAATGAATACATACGCCTCAGATAAAGAAGCACAAATAGCAAATAAACATATGAAAAATGTTCACCATCACTGGTCATTCAAGAGATGCAAACTGAAACAACAGTGAAATTCTACCTCACTCCAGAGAGAATGGCTGTCCTCAGGAAATCAACCCATAACAAATGCTGTGGGGCTGTGGGAAAAGGAACCCTACTGAGCTGTTGGTGGGAGTGTGGACTGGTGCAACCACAGTGGAAATCAGTATGGAGATTCCACAAAATACTAAAACTAGAGGTTCCATTTGACCCACCTATTCCCCTTTTTGGCGTCTACCTGAAAGAATTAAAAGCATTACACCTCAGCAGTAGATGCACACCCATGTTTATAGCAGCACAGCTTGTTATAACCAAATGTTGGAAACAGTCCAAATGCCTGTCAACTGGTGAATGGATAAAGAAGATATGTCTTTCAATACAATGAATGGAGTACTACTCAGCCATAAAGGATAAGCCTGAGATATTTCTAGGTAGGTGGATGCACCTTGAGATGATGCATGTGTAAATCCTGCCCTGCTTCTCTGGTGTGAGAACCAGAGGTGTAAATGAGGACCAAAATGTACAATGGCTATGGGGAAGTGGGAAGAAACTGTTCAAATGAGAATGGGGACGAGGGAGGAGGGAGTGGGAAAGGAAAGAAGGGACAAGGAAAGTAGGAGAGAATAGAAAAAAAAAGGAAACAAAGCTTCTGTAAATCAGCAGGGGAAGAGGAGCTGTAGGGAGGGGATGGGACTGGGGAAGAAAGAAGAAGCAAGATAGGTCATGTACAGGTACATGATGAATTAGATCCTGTGTAGCTAAAGGGTACCAATAAAACAACAGAATCAGGGTCTTCATCCTAGGTAACCAGAGGATCCTGAAAGTTGTAAGTATATGATATGAAGTCAAGTGAACTTTTAAAATGCAGGCTGCACAGCTCTATCCTGGAAGATCGTGGTGGATGGGGACCAGCCCAAAATGTGAATTATAAGGAGGCAGCAGGGGAGTGGACAGACGGGAACGATGACCTGGAAATCAGGTGCCCAGGACCCTCTCCAGTGGGTGGCCCTTAAAATAATGCTGTGGCCTATGGATATGCATATTCCTTACATGGTCTATTTATTCTAGGTGTTACATCAGACCCTGCACCAAGGGCAACGTCAGCACCTCCTTCATGCTGTGACTGCCTGGTCTTTGGGAGAGGCATTGAAATAGGAGTCCTGAGACGGTGCAGAGCCACTACCTGAGCCCGGCCTGTGTCCCTGGCTCCCACACAGGGCCACAGGCCTGATGCCCTCCTGCGGCACCTGCACTGCTTGCCTTTAGCCCTCTCCCAGGCTCAGCGGTGCAGCAGGGTGGAGGTGCTGGGGAATCAGTGGGCGTGCACAGCCTCCCTCTGTGATGGAAGGGACATGGTGGGGACAAAGCTCAGCTCCCTTCTCCCCGTGCTGGGCCAGCGTCAAGCTGTGTGCTACGCACAGCAGCCCAGAGTCCTCCAGGTCCGCGCCCTGCCTCCTGCGGTGCTGAACCTGGGACCTGGCTCCCCTGGTGCCTTCCCCGCCCTGCCTCACTGCCGTGCTCCTCCCCCTGATGTCTTGTCACCTCTACAGGAAGTGGGAGCAGTCAAGTCCTTTTCCCGCGATTTCCTTCTGGTAGAGCAAGGTGTCTCTTGCTGTCCCAAAGTGCATTTAAAAAAAAAAAAAAGGAGAGACTGGCAACCAAATTTAGTAAATTAGAAATGATGCAAGGCCCACACACTAAAACCCGAGTGAAACTGCATTCAGGTGAGCAGTGAGAGAGCGTAAAGGGGAGAGACTGCAGTCTGACACCATGAGCATGCTCTTATTTCAGCAACATTAACCTAGGAACAGCAAAAACGTCAGCTAGCCACTGTTTTGCTCCTAAAGACAAAAAGAAATTCAGGCTGAGCGTCCTGGTCCAAAACCTGGAATCCAAAATGGTGCAAAATTGGAAACTTTGTGAGTGATTTCGGACGATCGCAGATTTGGGATGCTCAGTGGTTAAAGTCCGTACAAACACTCCTAAGTCCAAACTAGTCCCAAATCTGAAACGCTTCCAGTCCCAGGCACTGTGAACAAGGCGCACTCAACCGGTACTGTGAAAAAATAAGTAACCCAGTCCTCTTGTAAAAACACTAATAAAAAGTAACATTTCTTAAGGGATTATTACTTCGTATAGTTACTATGCTAAGAGCTTTACGCTATGACTTTTCATTGCATATAGTCCTGAGAAACAGAGATGCCGAGCAGAGAGCTACTGAGCCGTCAGAGCTCACACACCCGGCTGGCAGGAGAGTCGAGATGTACGACGGAGCCGAGGCTGCGCTGGTCATCAGCATGCTGTGCTGCTCCTCTACAGAGGGAAAGAAAACCCTCCAGGTGCTCCGGTCAGGCTGGGCCTAGACTACTTACTCATCGGGTCTGTGGGCCAGAAATACCTCATCTCAAGTCCTGTGTTAAGAGCCCAGATGCCAGGCATGAAGGATGGCACAAAGTAAACTGTTCAAGCTGCACGGGGGTAAGAAAGTTGGGGTGCACCAACACTTTACATGTGCTGTGCGTGTCTCACCGGCTGCGCATCGTACACCACAGGGAAGTACTGCACAGCACGGTCCGCATCCCTGACAGCCTTTATTCGGGAAAACGGCGCTGGAGGACCGTTTCCACCAGGAACGGGAAACCCCCTTGAACAGCACCAAAAATGCTTAGTTCAGTTTTTTAAATGTCACTAATAATTTATTTTTAGAGAAGTTTTACGTTTGCCCCAGGAATTACAGACGTAGTTAATGAACCTCAAATTACTTAGTATCCCTAGGTTTCAAGGCACTGGATTCTTTTTAATGAAACAGAATGCCCCTACTCCTCATAACCTTTGTATTCCAGCCTGGTAGTGTACTGACTTGCCCTGGGTGGAACTGACTCACTGTGTTGCGGGTCAGTGGGAACGCTGGAGCAGAGCAGAGTCCCGTGGAACCAGCTGTGGGGTCTGCCTGGCATCTCTTGCGTTTGCTACACGGGCACACCTTAGCTCTGACGTAGAGTGAGGGTCCAGACGCACTGAAAGCCTTGAATGAGCCTGCAGTTTTGACTCTGAACCTTCCAGAACAAGGTCCAGGGTTTCCATGGAGCGGGGTCCCGTCTCATCTCCACTGTGACAAGTGGAGTCCTACACTGTCTCACCCCTGCGAGTCCCAGCGAGAACTCTAAAATTCTAACACATGAACACATGCACAACTAAAAATGCCATCTACGTCACACACTCAGGATTTTCCTGAAAGAAAGCAACGGACAGTACTGGGAAGCAAGCAGAGGACTTCTTTTTTTAACCTCCTCAAGACATATTTCTGACCCTGAATTATACTCACGTTAAGGTTAAACTCTTATTTTTGGGAGCCATGCATTCACTATGTTGCCCAGGCTGGGCTTGAACTCCCAGGCTCAAGTGGGATCTGATCGTCCCACCTCAGCCTCTGAAGTAGCTGGGACTGCAGATGAACTTTTCTTGTTTGTAGGAGACCAGCAAGAAAGTAGAAAGGCTCTTTGATCTCTTGGAAAAATGTGAGTCAGGACAGACGATGAGGCTTTCAAGTAGTGATCTCTACCATCATTTGACATTGAGTCAAATGCGTTTTCCACAATGCACATGAAAACACAAAACAGAGAAGGCGGACAACCTCCTCAATCCCCATGCTGCGGAATGACAGGAACATCACCACTTCTGTTACCTGACTTCAGGAGCTGTGGAGCTTTCATTTGTGTCTGTCCTTTTATTCCTTGGAAATGATATGCTGGCTGGAAGCATCTCACCACTTAAGCGATCCGGGAAAATGCGGTCTTTATTCAAATTGATATCTGAATAGGGACAGCTGGCAGCGCTGACAAATTAAAAGAAAAAGAAAAGGACATTTCCATTAGAACGCACCTACTACTTTTCAATGAAAATTACAGGCTACAGAATATAAAACTCCTACATTATATATATTTCTATATGTGTATGTGTATGATTAAACATTCATACACATACACAGAAACATTCTATCTATAAAACATATTAAGTATATTCTGATTGAAAACATATCTTCACACTAGATTTGAAGCAGCAAGCTACGGCTGTCCCTGGAACCGAGTGGTGGATATGGAAGAATTCCCTTGGGGTTGTTCAAGGGCTGGACCTGGGCTTATGTCTGGGAACCATCAGCCCCCAGAAGAAATGCTTAGGGCCTGTAGTAGGGCTGGGGTTACAGGTGGGGGAGAGACTCACGGGATCAGTGGGGTGGTCTGCTTCTCAAGGGACCCCCCAGCCCAGGGCAGTCCCCAGCTATTCAGTTTCCTCGGGCACAGTCACTGCCCTCCCAGAAGGAAGGTACACCAGCGAGCACACAGTGACTGTAGCAGTGAGCCCTGTGAAGGGGAGTACCTCAGCTCTTTTGTTAAACAAATGAAAGCAAAATGTTCCTTTATATCATCTTATGGCAACCTGGACAGCTCAGAGGAAGACTGCTAGCCAGAATAACATTCCCTGAGTGGCTCCACAGCTATGCCCCCTTTTTTTCTCACAAACTGCCTGAGTAAGGGAAGGATTTCAAACTCTCAAGCAAAAGTAATAAAACAACCACATTTCCAGCTGTGAGGCTGAGGCAGAAGACTGCTGCATCTAAAGCTAGACTGGGCAACTTGGCGACTTAGCAAGACCCTGTCTCAGAATGAGAGAGAGCGAGAGAAAGAGAGGGAGAGTGAGTGAGAGACAGAGATAGAAACAGAGAGAGAGAAAGAAAGAAAGACAGGCAGACAGACAGAAAAAAGCTGAGAATGTAGTTCAGCGCAGATGCCTTGGGATTAATCCATAGTACCTTAGAGAAAGGGAGACAGAGAGACAGAGAGAAAGAAAGAAAGAAAGAAAGAAAGAAAGAAAGAAAGAAAGAAAGAAAGAAGAAAAGAAGAGAAAAGAAAAGAAAAGAAAAGAAAAGAAAAAAGAAAAGAAAAAAAAGAAAAGAAAAAAAGAAAGGAAGGAAGAAAGAAAGGGCTGAGAGTGTAGCTGGGTGAAAATGCCTTTGGTTTACTCCACAGAACCTTCGAGGAGAGGGTGGATGTGAAGTTGCATTCAACCCCTACTGCTTCCTGGAGCGCTACTGCCCTCACGCCTCCATGAGAGGCCATCGCACTCTCCCAAGAAGCAGTGGCCCTGTCCTCCGTGTGCCCGCCTAACGCACAGCGACACTAAGCAGGCACTCAAAGGCATGTGCTCCATGGATGGATGGATCGATGCTGAACTAACGAGATTTACAGTCTGCAGTTACAAATTTTTAAAATATTCCACAGACTTCATAAACATTCTTTAGAGGTATTGGAAATACTGTTTTGTCACATTTCTTAATTTCTCCAGTATCAAATTTTACATAGAAGCATTTACTGCTATAGGTATTAGGCATGTACAATATCTATTTTTATTGAACTTTAGTTCCCCCTTAAGCCCCTCATATTTTTGATTTCTCTGCTGTCCAAAGGAATGTACTGACCAAAGGAAACATAGGACACAACCCATATAAAAGCTCCCTTGCTGCAGACCTAGAACTGAGCAATCTGGCTACTGAATATCCATGGTTCCAGAGGAAACTGCCTTACCCATACCCATACCCAGCTCTTTCACAGATCATTGCTATTTCAACATCAAAAACTGGGGGGAGGGTTTTTCACATACTCAGACTTCATTCCTGAAATGCAAGTTTTGTTGCTCACACTTCTTAGACCAAATCCAATCTGTAATCTTCTGAGACAGTAACAACAAAACGCTAGTCAAAACAGTCTTTTGCTTGTGTGTTCATAAAACTGACTATTCTTGCTAAAAGAGCAACTTTCCTTATCTTAGCAGAGAATCCAAGTTTTGATTTATGCAGTTTCTCAGTAAATTAATCTAAAGAGAATTTTCTCATTATGTTTTCCTAAACACAGCATATCTTAGCAAGGACAAAAATCCGTGTCAGGGAAGTGAACCTTCCAAAGACTATCCATGATGAGCAAGCTCTTCCACAAGTCTAGTAATGGAACAGAAAACAGGCTGTGTCTGTTAAGAATTAGTACCCTGCCAGTAAAGGGACAGTGAGTGTGGTAAATAGGACAGCCTAGTCAGGGAGTCCAAGAAAATCCCGTTCAAAGGCCGAGAAGGGCAGGCAGCACTTGGGCAGAGGCCGGGCCTCCCACGAGCTTGGTGAACTGTATTCCTCTGTCCAGAGCCCAGCTCCGCCCCAGGCACAGACCTGCCGGCTGAGCCCTGTGGAGGTGGCGAGAATGAATGCGGCTTCTTCATGAAGGCTGAGTTTCTCAGTCACAAGGGGCATTTCTGCCCCTCCTGTAAGGAGCATGAGTAATTCTCTGGGAATTCTTTACCACATTTCTCCATAAACTCTTCCAGGAATCTTCACAAATTTTTTCCTTCTCTTAACCAGCAGAGTGCTGCATCTATGACAAAATGCCACAAAGCTAAACAGTGAAACTTAGCGACTGGAGGCAGTGCTGGCGAGAGACCATCCGGGTCCCCCGCGCCTGGGGGAAAGGTGCCCTGGATGGATGTTCAGTGGGGACACCGGCACAGACAGGACAGTCACCAAGACCCGACTATCGCAGGCAAACTTCCCCACGCAGACCCGAAGCTCTCCCAAAGAACTACCAGAGGTGGGTTGGCTTCCAGAAGATCAAACTAAAATTTAAATACTCAGCTGCATCCCAGCAACATATGGTCAGTATTCATCTACTTTTTCTATTTCTTCATTCTTTTCCTTCACCATTTCAGCAAACTACCTTTCGTTCAGTGAATACCATGGGATTGCAGAGCAGTATGAAGGTCAGTGTGCCCAAGTTTCAATGCCGGTTAGTACTGTGTATCTTAGGTTTTAATGATTGGCTAGCTTGTATAGTTTCCTTATTGTGAAATATCTGTGATCAGCGCATGGGGCGATGCCTTGAGAGGAGGTGGGTGGGGGTCATCCAGAATACAGATCCTTAGCTAGGTGTGGTGCCAAAGGTCTGTCATCCCAGTGCTCACAGGCACGAAGGAACACGGATAACAACTTGCAGACCAGCCTAGACAATGTGACGAAACGCTGTCTCAAAAACTGCAAAAGAGGGTGGGGATTGGGAGAACACTCATTGTGAAGGCCTTGGTTTAGTCTCAAGTATTGAAAATTTAAACAAAGATCAGACCCTTGCGGTTGGACTGGTCTCCCTCTCACCACTCACAAAGGCTAGTCACTATATCTCTCAAAACTTGTGGGAAAATAATAGTTTCTAAATCATAGCATCATTTAAAAAACTGCCTAATACATACAAAGCAATTACAGCAAATATTACTCCTTATTGAAGAGCTGCCACTCAGAATTACTTATGGGATGAAAGAAATTCGGAGTAGTCAATGGATATTTATCATGCTCTTGAATTACCTTTGGCATTTAGACCTATACAGCTTCTGAGAAATAATCTGGCTTCCCTGACTAGGTAATATTTAATAACTTCTAAGATGTATTTCTAAGTCAGCACTCTTCTCATATAACTTTTAGTTTACAGCCCATGCAAGCAAATAAATGGATTTCTAAATGGATATTTGCAAACAGAATCACCATCCTATGTATGCTCAGATTTTTTTCTTCTGGAATACACTAAACCTCACTTAAAAAAAAAAATACTAGGGAGGAGCATTGAAAAAGGAAGATAAGTAGGATTTGAGGTTGAAAAGATGAAAGAGGAAAGTATATCCAGATGAAATTAATTACACTAGTTTTACAATTCCTGCTAATGCTTGAGGATTAGGTGGTACGATTTCAGAATCTTAAAGACCCAGATTCATAACTTATACAAACTAGATAAATGAAAAGTCATTTTTCTTATGGGGCAACCCAATTAACATGCATTTACAACACTTACAGAGACGTATTATTAATTGAATGCATACCCAAATAGAATATTTTCTTCCTTTAAAATCTCAGAGAAATCACAGGAATTTATTGGTATTTTAGTAATATTTTTTAAATGTTTATGAAGATTCCCAAGTCACTTGAACAATACATCAAATATAAATGTAAAGATTTGGTTTCCTTCCGAATTTATTTAGGAGGGATAAGAGAAAAATATGAAAAAAATGGTTTCCTGACTCTTACATTCTCACTTTTGACTATATTTGTGCTTTTTTGATGCTCATTACTAATCTAATTAATAATGCTTTTTATCATTCAAATTGTCAAGTCCCCTAGTCACACACTCTCCTACTAAATAATCTCAATAAAGTCTGCCCTCTTCTCATTATCCTGGAATGGTCAACCATTAACTATTTCAGAAGCCATGTATTTATAAAACTAGTTAGGTTTGAGGTGTGGTGCTGTACACCTGTAATCCCAGCACTCGGAAGGCTGAGGCAAGAGGATCACTGTGAGTTCAAGGCCAGCCTGGGCTATATAGTGAGTTAAAAGCTAGCCTGAACACATGGTGAGAACGTGTCTCAAAAAAAAAACAAAACACAAACCAAAAAAAACAAAACAAAACAAAACTAGTCAGGTTGCCAGGAAAAGCCAACTAACTAAAGTAAATAAGTCTATTTTAAACCATCAATGCATTTTCTCTCAGGAAGATTGAACTATAAATATATCCTTCATTTTTTTCACGGTTACCATGGCAACCCTATTGCTTATGGATCTGAGTTTAAAATTAGTTCACATCTGTTTAGTAGCCAAGAAAATAATTTTAATCATCTATGGGCTAGGGACCTTCTAATAACCTTGGGAGACATCCTTATGTCAGGGCGTCATGGTGACTACGTACCTCTGAGGGCCCAGATGCCTTGATCTCTTAAAATGACCAATCCCCTTACATCCAAGGGTTGTGCATCCACCTTGGTCAGAAGTTTCCATTAGTTCTGTGGCACCTATAAAAAAGAAAAAAAAAAGCATCCAATTTCCTGAATGAACACAAACAGAAAAACCAGTAGATAACAGGAAATAGGGAGGTAGCCTTTTGCAAATGCGAAAAGTCTTCCAACCTCTTCTACACTTAGACCCTCCCTCACCCTGACCACGTAGGTGTAGATGGACTCTCCCTTCTGCATGCGGCCCTCAGCATTCAGCTACAGGCCTGTATGTGTATAGACATACATGTCAAATTGTGGTTTAGTTTTATTTTGCCACATAAAAGGTACAATATAGATGTGTGCTATTTGGAAACTTGTCTGATAAATCTTTCAGTGGCAACATCAATATTCTTTATGACTGGTGTACAATGTCTATACGATGACACACCACAATTTATTTAACCAATATTGTCTAGGTTTTGTTATTTTACACAAGTTGCAATGAATATCATGTAGATTTACTGTGCCCTTACATGCTGTGTATGCAGTACCCAGAAGAGAACACTTAATTTATTTAAAAAACCAATTATATATTTTTCCTGATATATAGAGTATATGTGTTACATATGTTACAATGTAAATATCTTTCTCTAAATTAAGATTGTGCTATGTTAAATTCTTTCTGTATCTTTTTTGAAAACTCAAGTGAAATTTTTAGTTAGATAACTGTAGATTCACATGCGGGTATAGGGAATACTAACGGAAGATTTCTTTTACCCTTTATCCAAGTCTCCCAATGGTTACATCTTGCAAAGCTATGGTATAAAGTTATTCTTGAGATACCAGCACTGATACAATTTTGATAGTCTGACGAACTCTCTTCTAAATGTTCCACAGCAATTTTAAAGGGCAATGTTTATTTCTAAAGGAACATTACTTTTTCAGGCAGCACATTTTTTCTTTCCTATTTTTGTGACTACGGTAATTAAATATATTAAAAAGGATGACACTGAGGAACAACATGCAGTAGACAGAAAAAAAGAAGGAGAGTGAAGGATATTAAGTATGCTGCACTAGAGAATGGAGGCCGGGATGTGACAAAGGCAAACATTTGCCAGGATACTCTGGCATGTCTTACTCAGAGGAGGCTGGAGAGGATGCCCAGTTTTGGAACACCAGCCCACAGGGTGGATATCTGGAGAATCTGCATCTATCCAGTAGTCATAGGTGCTGCTCCAGCCATCGAAGTGAACCTGGAGAAGAGGAGGACACGACTAATCACAAACCTTCCTAGAGTAAAAGCGCTGCCCACGACACGGCCATTGTTATTCTCTTCAAATACAGACAGAAAATTTAATACCCAATAAATCATTTCAATTACGGAAAACACTTCACTATAGGAGGAGATAAAAGGTGCTTCTGAATACCTTCCACATAAAATCAGCTTGTCAATACATGCCTCACTACAGGCATTTCTATTTTTTTTTTTTTTTTTTTATTTTTTATCAAACTCATTTGATTGTAAATATTGTTTAATTTCTTCTTT